TCGAAGACATGGACCAGGAGCCAACCTCCCCGAAACTTGGCTCAGTTTTTCTTGAGGTCTTGGCATGGTTACTTTTTCTCCAGGCATGATTATTTTATTTTTTCAGGCAGAAGCTCTTTAGGACCTAAAGTAAAAGGAAGCTAAAGTGTCCCTATAAAAATGTACCCTGTGAGCATGCTTACTTTCTGTTTTTTCGTGCTGCCCAGGGCAGAGGAAGCGGACACGGAGGAGACCTCCACGGAGCCGGATGATGATGCCATCCGGCTCTACCTGAGCGGGGGTCTGGGCGAGCCGGATGAGTGAGCTGCCCGCCTCCGGTGAAAAACTCTCTGGGCTTTTGTAAGGAGACCCGAAGCTCGAAGATCCAAACAAGCCACAGAAGCTAGGAAGGAACCCCCGGAGAAGCAAGCGAAGCTCGGCATGCTTACTGTCCACCTTTTCCGTCAGCTTGTGTCATGCTTACTGTATCTGTTTCAGGAGACCCGAAGCCCGAAGATCCAAACAAGCCAGAGAAGCTAAGAGAAGAAACCCGGGGAAGCAAGTGCAGCTCGGCATGCTTACTTTTGGCACTTTGCCTGCTGAGATTTTCTGGCATGGTTACTCTTTGTACTTAGCATGAACACAGTGTTTTTGAAGCATGCTTACTCTGCAGTTCTCGTGGTGTGCATGCTTACTGTTGCTTGATTGCGGCATGGTTACTGTGAGTGCACTTTGCAGAAGCAGTCTGGGCATGCTTGCTTTTGAGACTTTCCAGAGAAGCAGTTCCTGTGCCCGCATGCTTACTGTCCACTTCATGGAGCTTGTGGAAAGACATGTTGAACCCGGCAACCGTTTTTCGCAGCTCAAAGGGGTGCCTCTTCTGAGGCCCGTGTGCAAAGCAGAGAGCACCAGCACAGCCTCTAAAGAGACAATTGCAGAGAGCACTTCACACACACACAGCACTCCGCAGCAGAGAGCACTTCAAACAAGGACCACAGCAGAGAGCACTCACAGCACACACAGCACACACGGCACACACACACAGACACACACACACACACAGACAGACACACACAGACACACACAGACACACAAATGTCACGGCACAGACACAGCTAGCTCACAACAGCAGCATGATGCAGCACACCGGGAGTTGCCAGCGGCGGCCAGGCTGGCACAAAATGTACATGGACGAGCGAGGCCGCATAGTGCGGCCGAGCTGTCCTTGCTGCTCTGGTGCCTGTCCTTTGTGCCAGTGTCCTGCCTTCAAGCTGGTTTTTCTGTTTTAAGCAGGTTCCCAAGCATATGCGACATGGTTTTTTTTTGCCGGCAACCCAGGAGACGTTCGCCGCCGGAGACTTCGACAACCAGCCACTCGAAGCTGCTTGTCCTTTTATAGAAGTGTTGCCTGACCTGTGTTGCATGATTACTTTTCTGCGAAAGCTTTGCTGGGGGGGCCCAGGTCGGAGAGGCAGGCGGCGACCACGGAGTCCCAGAGGACAAAGCAAAGCCGTTAGAAGCGGCTCGGCAGAACACGATCTTTGTGGATCTGTGCTGCATGATTACTGTGTGCCTTTGGAACAAAGTCCGCTGCATGATGACGGCAGGTTCTCCAGTGGCAGGAGGAGGAAAAGGGAAAAGTTTTTTCTCAGAAGCTGCTCGGCAGAAGTGCTGCATGATTACTGTTGGTCTTTGGAAGAAAACCCTGTCGTGTGACCGCCTTGGCCATTCCAGGTCCACGGCAGCGGGCAGCTGACGGCAGGTTCTCCAGTGGCAGGAGGAGCAAAAGAGGGGAAAGTTTTTTCAAAAGCTGCTCGGCAGAAGTGCTGCATGATTACTGTTGGTCTTTGGAACAAAACCCTGTCGTGTGACCGCCTTGGCCATTCCAGGTCCACGGCAGCGGGCAGCAGCGAAGTCCATGGCGAGGGCCTGGCGAGAGCCAGCACAGCGAAGTCCATGGCGAGCTCGGGGAAAACAAGCAAAGCTAGTGTGTCCACAATGAGTTGCCGTGCCATGTTTACTTAAGTCCCTTTGTTGTCGGAGCCATGGTTACTTCTCGTGTATGCGACAGATGCATGTAGAGTTGCATGGTTATTTTGTGCAATGTCTCCCAGCGGCCCACAGGTTTCTCGTCAGTCCAGCACTTTCTCTTATTGAGCTTTGGGGTTTAGGGATTGAGGAATTTAGGGTTCAGGATTCAGGATTTCAGGCTTAAAGGATTTGGGGTGTAGGGGGGTTCGGCTTTGGGGTTTAGGGTTTGGGGGTTTGGGAGATTAGGGATAGGGGTTCAGGGTTGCTTGGGGATTGGGGTCTGGGGTTCAAGGTTGGTCGTGATAAGAGTTCAGGTATTTACGGTACAGGGTTTGAGAGGGTTTAGGTTTTTACGTGGTATAGGGCTTTAGGAGTGGTGGGGTGGGGGTGGGGGGGTCGGGGTGGGGGGTGGGCGGTGGGGATGGGGGTGGGGGTGGGGGTGGGGGTGGGGGGTGGGGGTGGGGGTGGTGGTGGGGTAGGATTTTTTTAAGGAGTTTCTTATTTTTTTTATAAAATCTTTGGTTTTTTAAAAGATTTTATTGGTTTTCAACTATCAGGGTTGCAAGTTTGTTGCAAGTTTGTTGCAAGTTTGCAACAAACTTGCAACGGGCCATTGCAAGTTTGTTGCAAGTTTGTTGCAAGTTTGCAACAAACTTGCAATGGGCCATTGCAAGTTTGTTGCAAGTTTGCAACAAACTTGCAACAAACTTGCAATCGTGATTGCAAGTTTGAAAACAATCATTTTACCTATATATATATAGGTTTTGGTATACCTTATGGCTATGGCAATTGATAAACTTGCAACAAACTTGCAATCACCATTGCAAGTTTGTTGCAAGTTTGCAACAAACTTGCAACAAACTTGCAATGGTGATTGCAAGTTTGTTGCAAGTTTGCAACAAACTTGCAACAAACTTGCAATGTGCCATTGCAAGTTTGTTGCAAGTTTGCAACAAACTTGCAACAAACTTGCAATCAGCATTGTTGAAAACCAATAAAATCTTTAAAAAAAAACCAAAAAAAATTAAAAAAACAAAAGAAATCCTTACAAAATCTTACCCCCACCACCACCCCCACCCCCACCCGCACCCCCACACCCACCCCCACCCGCCACCCCCCACCCCCCACCCCCGCCCCCACCACCCCCACCCCCACTCCCCACCCCCGCCCCACCACCCCCACCCCACCCCACCCTCAACCCCAACCCCACCCCCCACCCCCCACCCCCAACCCCACCCCCACCCCCACCCCTAACCCTAGGCGCTATTGGCTAGGTTAGGGATTGTTTAGGCCTAGTACTATGACTACTAGTATTTCTCTAAGCATTCTTAGTATCACGATTCTTTTCCTACTATTACCACTATTACTGATCGTACTATGACTAACTTGCCTAGCATTCCTATAGGACTCTCCGTACTATTCCTGCTATGGCTACTACTATTACTCTGGCTAGTACTACTGCTACTACTCTATGGTTACTACGGTTACTACTGCTGCTACTTTAACTAGTATAATAATCACACTACTATAATGTTATTCCTCGGAGTAGGACTACGAAACCGATTATTGTGGGTATGACTACATAGTGATTACTTTAATATTTAGAATTTAGGGATTTGGATTGTAGGGGGGTTTCGTGGTTGGGTTTAAGGATTTGTGGGGTTTGGGGATTATAGGGTTTGGGGTTCCAGGTTTGGATGGTTCGGGGTTTAAGGATTTGGGATGTGTGGGGTTTCTGGCTGGGCTTTCGGGTTTAGGGCTACGGGGGTCTGGGGTTCAGGGTTCAGGGGTGTAGGCTTTAAGGACTTGGGGTCTAGGATGTTTTTTGCTGGGCTTTGGGGTTTAGGGTTATGGGGGTCTGGGGTTCAGGGCTTTAGGGAAGTCTAGGGGTTAAGGATCTGCGGGATTTCGGGATTAGGGTTTCATGGTTTAAGAGGATTTGGGGTGTAGGTGTGGTGATATTATAGGGTTGGGCGGGTTTGGGGTTTGGGTTTGAGAGGGTTTTGTGAAGTTGGTGTTTATGGATTTGGGGTCTAGGTTTAGGGATGAGGGTTTGGGCGGTTTGGGAAGGAGGGTTTGGTGTTTGGGGTTTGGCGGGTTGGGTTTTTCTGGCTTAAGGTTTCGGTGTTGGTGTTTGAGTACCAAAATCGTGCTCGTCGTCATCGTCTTCTGTTTGTCGTCGTCGTTGTCGTCGTCGTGGTCGTCCTGGTGCAAGAAACCCTATACCTCGTGTCGTGCTCGTCGTCCTCGTCTTTTCTTTGTCGTCGTCGTTGTCGTCGTCGTCCTCCTCGTGCTTGTGTTCGTGCTGGTCATCATCGTCGTCCTCTTCTTGTGGAATGTAACGGGCGGAGAGAACACTGCATCTCCATACCTGCAATTCGCCAAGAAAGTGGACAAAAAAGGCAACATTCATTGTGTCGAGTGTGCGGTTGCGACCTCTGACTAGGAAAGGACACGAAGCATGGAAGCAGAGGTCTGGCAACTCCTGAATTGCGCATGAATCAGCATGTCGGTAGTTTTTGGTTCCGTTGGTGCTCGATGCATAGTATGAATAAATGAGACGGACGGCGTTTACTTGGCCGGCATAATAGTCTACTGTTCAGATCAGCGACTCTGCGAAAGCGTTTGAAACCGCATATGCTATGTTGGCCATTGCATGCGTGGATGTCGGCAACCATGGAGGGCGATGCTAGGAAAGCGTTTGAAGCCGCATGTCGCATGCAGGGTTAGAAGTGGTTCTTCTAGGTCTCACCGCAGAAGCTGTGAGCAAAGTAATTCTTTGGGAGGGTGCTCTTGTCTTGGTTACTGTCAGACTTCACGGTGTTTTCGGTGTTGTTCGACACGATTACTCTATGTCTGTCTGCTGCTGAAGCGACATTGAACTGTCCATCTGCAGAGCTTTGCTCTTTTGAAGGGCCCTCGAGACGTGTCACCACCAGCGAGGTGGACAAGTCCTGCCCCACTCCTTGCCCTCTGTCTGCTCTTTCGCCATGGGCAAACCGACGACTTCTTCTGAGAAGACTGAGCCTGCAGTGGAGACTCCTGAGCAGAAGGAGGCTTCGGCAGAGGAGGCCGCCGAGCAGAAGTCCAAGGAGAACCCTACGAAGCCAAAGGCCAAGGGGAAGGCCAAGGCTAAGGCCGCGGCGAAGGGGAAGGCCAAGGCCAAACCAAAAGGAAAGGCCAAGGCCAAGGCAAAAGCAGAGCCCAAGGGCAAGCCGAAGGGAAAAGCACAGCCCAAGAGCAAGCCCAACAGCAAGGGCAAGGACGAGGAACAGGAGGCCGAGGACGACGAGAGCAAGAACGAGGAAGCCAAGAAGAACAAGGGCAACAGCAAGAAGCTTGCGAGTGTAACCAGGCAGTGGAGCAAACGTGTGCTGGAAGCGGAGGGCCAGGACGAGGAGCAGGAGGACGGCGAGACCGACGAGGGCGAGGCGGACGAAAAGGAAACCCGCGACGTCGGGAAAGCCAGAAAAATGGCTCGCATGCTCAAGGCCGGCAACGTCCCCGAAGACGTTCGCAAGCTGTACGAGTCCGCGAACCAGCAGTCCAACCCCAGGCTCTTCAAGACTGAATTGATCAATAGATTGTTTCAAGTCAACAAGAACCTAGCCTGGAACTGGAATGTTTTGCTTTTTGGGTACTAGTTTTTTTTTTCTGGCATGATTACTCTTTTGGGTGTGCTTTCTGCATCCAGGATGACTGCTGCGACCCTTGCTTACTTTCTTTTTTCTGTGTGTCTTCGTTGAAAAGAGGAGCATGCATGATTATTGTTCCGGGTGTCCTGGCTGCATCCACGATGACTGCTGCCACCCTTGCCTACTTTGACGTTTCTGTGTCTTCAGCAGCATGCATGATTATTGTTCCGGGTGTCTTCTGAAATCGTCCAAAGTTGGCTATGCATGGCTACTCTTGCTTGAGTATCAGGAGCGGCAACTACACGATGTGCACCACCAGCCCGGACTTTCAGTCGTGGAAAGCCAACACGGACACCAAGTTCTCCGAGGGCTACAGCACGGGGGAGTCTTACTCCGTCATGTTGTGGAAGGTCTTCCACGGCAACGAGGAAGCCTTGAAGACAGCCTTGAGACGTGGCGACGTGTACGAGCAAGGCGGCTTGTACCACACCTTGACTGTGAGGACAGGCCGCACCAAGACCTCGAATGACACACAGCAGCTGAGTGGCGGCTGCGCCTCTTTGGACGTGGAGCAGTTTGACGCCCTTAGCAGCTTCTTCAGTGGCAGGCCCTGGGCTTTGCAGGGCTCCCAGTCTTTTGAGACCGCCACCAACAGGGAGTCCGGCCCTGAGACCTCTGTGGTCTTGGGGAACTCCAGTGGGCAGCGACAGCTGGCTCTGCAAGACAAGCCAGCAGTCGAGGTGGAGGTCAAGTGGAAAGTCGTGGAGACGAACTTGAGCGAGGCCAAGCAGGCCCTCGACAGGCTCCAGAGGGACGCCCAGCGCTACGTCTCCAAGGTCAAGCTTCTCGGGGACAGCGACCTTTCCGAGGAGATCCACACATAGTCCTAACCCCTTCTAATCCCTAAAGCTTGTGTAGACATAGACACACTCAGGGTTTTTGTTCTGGTTCTAGTGGTATCAGGCAAGCAACCCATCCTTTATGTCACGATCCTAAATCTGCATGGTTATTTTCATAGCAAACAAAAACTTGGTTACTTTTGTCTTGACTTTGTCTGCGGGGTCCAGGACCTGAAGTCTGTGCTTGGCAGTCTGACGAAGAGCCTCTCTGTCTGCGGTGACTGCTTGACGTGGAACGACAGTTGGCTTTGGATAACATTTTGTTTGAACATGTGTGTTGGAAGAACAAACAGTTTGTGAGGTTTGAAAGTGCAGGGTTTTCTTTTGTTGTCCCTCCAATGTTTTCTCCCAGGAACTGCCGGGAGGGCTCTCCAAGCAGAACGTCCAAAAGTTCATGCAGCAGCTGGGGGATGACACGGATCGAGCCAACGAGACCTTGGAGAAGGTCAAAGCAGTGGTTAAAGCGAGGGCTGACTGAGTTCGCTGTGTCTCCCAGAGATGTACCGAAGTCTAGAGTAGGACTCTTTAGAAAGGTACTTTTTATGTAGATAGGAAACATGTGTATGCTAATACTTCAGTCAAGATTTCCTGTGGCACATCTCTGGGCGCCCAGTGGGCTCTTAGGATCTACCTTGAACTTCTCTCCAAGGCTTCAAGAAACAAAAGGGCCTTCTCACCACTTTCGGCCAGGACAGAAAAGCTCCGGGCCACTAGACACTGTGTGTGTCTGTGCTTGCGACTGGCTGGGTTGCCGTAGACACGTAGCAAAAGGCCGGGCCCGCTTCAAACCTAGAGCTGGTCTGTTTGGGTTTAGGGGTGTAGGGTTGATAAAGATATGTATACAGACATAGACTTGTCTGCTTTTTGGTCGCCAGAAGCACACAGACCGCACAGCCGGGCTCCAGTCTCCTTTCTGGTGGCGTTTTGGAAAGTGTCCGAGAAGAGAGGGGTCCCTGAAACCTTTCTGCCGGGGAAGAGGCTGAGACCTTGGACTTCGCCTTTTACTCTGCACAGCAGCAGAAAACCCAGTCAAGGTCTTCACAACTGCGAAAAAGTCAAGGTCAAAAAAGCCTCGAAGAGGGTGGCCAGAAAGAAGTTCCCTGCGACAAAGTCGGACAAGAGCCGGGGCGCCAAAATGAGCGAGATGTGCTGTCAAGTGTCGGTGGCGACCATTAGACTGCTGTGTGTGCAGCTGGCATGCTTACTTTTCTCAATATAGCTTTTATCACATGGACTTGCAATCGCTTCTGTAGTGCTTTGGCATGATTATTCCGCTTTGGCATGTTTATTTTCCAGCGGTCCAAAGCCGTGCTTGATTATTTTGGGGTTATGCACTGTGCTCTGTGCATATGTGATGGCCTCCTTACAAAAACCGTAAACCCTGCCATGTTTATTGTTCTCTTGTGTATACACGACTGTGCTTGATTATTGTTTCTTTCTGGAGTGCATCTGCCATGATTGCTTTCTTCATCCGTGGTCAAGAAGCAACAGTCTCGCGACCCTCATGCTCAGACTCAGAGGTCTGTTTCTGTTCTGTTTCTTAATTGAGGTGAAGGAAAAGTTGTTTTTTAGTAGACCCTAAACCCACAGAAAAGCTTTTTCAGGTACAAACCAAAAAAAACAGTGTGCAGAATCTCCGTAGCCGTTTGCGACAGAGCGATGATGGACGATGACGACGTCCCACCCCCGAAACGAAGAAAAGGAGGACAGAAACAGCGGTTGCAACAGCTGGCTCGCGAGGAAACCCCGGCGACGTCTTCTACTGCGGATTCTGGGTTGGCACAATTCCTTGAGGAGGCTTGGGCATGGGGGGACTTGACGCCGCAGCAAGTCCAGCGAATAGCTGCTCTGACGAAGAAGGACATGTTGGCAGCTGGCTTGACAGAGAGCGATGTTCCGGGCCGCCTAAAGAAGCTTGCAGAAATAGGCACTGCAGGGGCCCACTCAAACAACTGCCACAGGGACCTGATGGCTTATCTGCCTGGCAAATGCAAGCTGCCGAGGCCGTTTCAAGAGGTCCTGCCCTTCAAGACTGGACAAAGTGCTCAAGCTTTCATGCTGCCGCACGAAGTCTTTTCGGCACTTTACCACCACTATCCAGGGTACTGGCAAGCTTCCTTTCTACCTGGTGGGGTTCCAGCTTTGCAGGCTTTCTGGAAACACTTTGACAAGCATCCGTGTATGGCGGATGGGACATTGGCTGACAAAGATGACTTCAGAAAAACTTGCTTGCCTTTGGCACTACACGGCGATGCCGTCCCAACCACTGGCCTGTGCAAAGTTTGGGCCAAGCTCCTGCAGACCTTCAACTGGCACTGTATGCT